GTGGAGCCTGCTGCTGTCCGGGGGTGAGCCAGCCCGGTCCTGCCCCTGCCCCTGCCCCTGCCCCTGCCCCTGCCCAGGCCGGCCCGTGGGACCCTGCTCTGGGCAGGGCAGTAGCGGGAGTGGGGCTGTATTGCAGCCAGAAGGGCTGTTTGTCCTTATGCTGGGGGGTGGTGTTCCCCTGGCTCCTGTCGCATCCCTGCTCCCCACGGCTCTATGGGGCTCAGAAGCTGGCAGGTGCTTGCCCTTGCTGCCAGCAGTCTTGTGAGCATCTTGGTCTCTTTAGCCGCAGGGTCCCTTGCCAGCTATGTGGTAACCAGAGCTGAGACACAGAAATGCTCCGACTTCTGGATTTACCTGGAGACAGGCAAGTCCCCACAGGAGCATGCCATGGCTGGTAGGGTGTCTCAGCCCACAGGTACGTTCACATCTCTCCCTGCTGCTTTCCCTGGGCTTGTCGTGCCTGGGTTCTTCCTTGCTGCAACAATTTGCCATTCCTGCCTCATTAATTGAGCTGGTGACTGTCATTGCCAAAATCCCCATATAAGTCCCACACTGGCACCCTGCAGCCAAGGGATGGGAGCAGGCCCCTGAGGTGGCAGCAGTGCTAGGGTGGCCGGAGCTCCCTGCCTGGTCTCATGGCTCCTGTGTCCCTTGTCGTGCCTGGGTTCTTCCTTGCTGCAACAATTTGCCATTCCTGCCTCATTAATTGAGCTGGTGACTGTCATTGCCAAAATCCCCATATAAGTCCCACACTGGCACCCTGCAGCCAAGGGATGGGAGCAGGCCCCTGAGGTGGCAGCAGTGCTAGGGTGGCCGGAGCTCCCTGCCTGGTCTCATGGCCCCCGTGTCCCTCCATGCTCCGGGCCCATCACCTGCAGTGCAGGTACCTGCACAGGGCTGGTGGCATGTGGTGGGAGCGCTGGCTTCTGCCTGCTGCCCTGCCTGCTTTGTGGATTCACAAGAGCCAGCATAAAAGGCTTGTTTGCTGGAAGAGGAAGAACAGGGTAGGGGATAGAGGGAGGCAGTAAACCCCTCCACACCCCAGTTGCTCTGTGCAGTGGGCAGAACTGGAGTGTCTGGTGCCCATGGCTGCCAGCTGCATTCTCCCACTGGTACTGTGAGCTCCCAAAGCTGGGCCTAGCTGAAGAGGCTTTAAATACTTCACCAGGGCTCTGTGGTTTTCTCCCCGCCCCTGGCAAACGCGCCAGGATAGTTGGGGGACCAGGGAGCTTGTTCTTTCTGTTGCAGAAAATCTGCCCAGCCTAGAGGACAGAGAGAGCGTGGCATTGCCAGTGAGGAGGAACAAGTACGGAGACGTTGTGGAGTAGCCGGTAGAGCACAGTGTATTGTGCCCATGTCCTGCTTCACCCCTTCCCGCCTACCCAGCCTGCCTGTGCTGCCTGCAAGCCTGGTGGGCTCTGTAGCACCGCGTGGGAGCTCGAATTGAGTTGATCCTGCAGTCAGACCGTAGTGGTGGCACCGTAGGGGTTGCTGCCTCCCAGGTAGCCTCTGAACATCGTGCATGGGGGGCGCAATAAAAGTTGCAAGCTGAAAGCGCTTATTGTGGATGAAGCAAAGGCTAGTGGTTGGAAAGTAAGAGCTGGGGTGCAGGTGGTAAATGTCACCCTGAGGCAACCTCTGCAGTAGAAGTTGGAGCAGAGAGCTCTGGTCCTTCTGAGGCCATGGCATCCGCAATCTGACAGTACAGGGCTGTTAAGTGACTGCAGGCATGGACGGGTCTGGGCTAAGCTGTGGGAGGGCAGAGCTGTTGCTGTGTGCTCTGTTTCTTTAGCCTAGCCGGTCACAGTGTCCCTGCCCCCATGGCAGCAAGGCTTTTCTCGCCTGCCCGAATGGGGCTGAGCTGAGCCCTGCAGCTCCATCACCACGGGGGGTGTCCTCTCTGCCCCTGCAAAGGGGTGTACGTGTGCCCAGAGCCCCTCTGTGCAGTGCCTGCTGTGGTCTCAGGGCATGCCACCAGGCCAGTCCCAGACTGTCCATCCAGGTCTGTAACCAGCCAGCAAGGGAATGTTACTGTCTCAAATCCCATGCATCCAGAGGGGCACGTGGGAAGATTAAGAAACCTCTTTTACTTAATTTTTTCCTAATGACAAACTCCAAGTCATGACTAGGGCAAACCGGCTGCTCTTGGTGGGTGTCCAGCTCTGATTCAGCTGCAGCTGTATTTCTTAGAAGGGGAAAGCCAGCCTGGGTTCTGGAAGCTAGCTGGTGTCTTAGAGCAGGGCAGCAGCATTTCAGCTCGAGAGACTAAAAATGTCTCTTTCCGCATGAGAGCTGGAGACAGTCACCGAGCCTCACCACGGGAGGGAGTCCTTGTGCTGGGGAGTGGAGAGGCTGGGCGAGGAAACTGGGTTTGGGGGCTCAGAACATCATCTGAACTGAAATCACGCTTGGCCTGTGCAGAGAGATAGGGAGCAGCCACCAGAACAGCTAGAAGCAAAGTGGCGGCAGGGAACAGGTGGGTTAAGCCAAGCACAGCGTACTGGGAGCTCGGCTGTAGCGGAGAGCAGAGCTTGTGCCACCTGCAAGAGCAAGGAGGGCAGTGAGAAACTGCAGCTCTCACTGGAGCTGCTCCTCTCCTGGGGTGTGTGGAGGAACGCAGTGGGGCAGGAGGCTCTTTCCAGATGGGGTTGATGAGTTGGGACTGGCCCTGCGCAGCTGCCCTGCAGCTGGGTGCGTGCCGCGGTGGCTCTGAGCTGCCAGTGACTGCATGAACAAATTGCCAGCCCTGTGGGCTGCTCTCCTGCCCTGCTTGGGTACCAGACCCGCTCCCCTGGGAGAAGAGGTTCCCTACATATTTTCCTTGCATGGAGGCTGTGGTGTGCAGTGGTGAATGAACAGGGCAGAGTCAGCCTGAGCACTGCCTGCTTATGCTTTTGAGGTGACTGGACCTCTAGTGCTTGGGAAACCTCAACTTCGCAACCATGGCTGGTTGAAACTCTTCCACCTCCAAGTCGGCCTGAGTCTGGAGTGAGGTTTCAAGCCCGCCTTCGTCTGTCTTGGGAGATTCTCCAGGCTGGTAAAGCATATGAAGCTTGATGACACCATCAGCACTGGGCAGGCGCCAAGGGATTGAGACCTTCAGGCTGAGCCTGACCTGCGTCTGTGTCCAAGTAGACCCCATAAGTGGATCTGCCGCTGCGGGACAGCCAGGCTTGACCAGCCTGTGGCAGATCAAGAGCTACAGAGCCATAGGAGTGGTTACAAAGTTTTATTTCTGATTATAAAAAAACCCAAACAAACAAAACCAAACCTCTGCATGTTTGCATGTGCCTGTCCTTACTCCGTTGTAAATGGAGGTGCATCCTCCCAGCTGCCTGTCGTGGAGTGATGCAGGGCTCAAATCCTAAAGCAGCACAAAGTCCCACTTCTGCAGCGAGCCCATTGCCGCTGCGTTGGCACAGCCACGCACCAGAGAGCTGCAGGGACCTTTTGTGCCATCGCTGGGGGGATGGAGGAGGCTCTGGCTGTGGCAAAGGCAAGACTGGCTTATGGACCACAGGAATGGGAAAGGCACCGTGTTTGGTTGCTGAAGCGGGACCTGGGAAGCTGCCTGCTCTCCACATCTCAGGGTTGCTAAGCCCCTACCCAAAGCCCCTGTGCTGAGGCTGGAAGTCCAGGCTAAGATCTGGCCCTCAGGAAGGTCAATGGGGTTTGTGCATCGGCCAGAAGGATAGGACAGCATGGGCTCTGGGTGATGCCCAGCGCTCCCCAGGAGGCGGGGCCGATGCTTCAGGGACAGGCAAGGTCAGGTATAAGGACTAGCATAAGTAATACTCCCCACCCACCCCATGCACATGAGCATAAATCCTGCTGTTGACTTACTGGCCCCATCCAGCCCAGGTCTGAATGTCCAAATCCCAAGCCTGCTCTGGGGTCTATCCCTGAGTAGCACTGGGAAACCCTTAAACCCTTCTGCAGGGTCAGGGTCCTCTTCTGTCCGCCCCTTTCTGCAGCTTGAAAGCAAGGGGAGGGCAAAAAGGGACAGCTTTCCTTCTGGGACAGACAACATCAGGTATCGGAGAAGGACATCTCTGAGCACTTGCTGCATCCCAAGTGTTCAGGCCATGGAGGCTCTGGCAGGAAGGATGGTGCTGGGTCCTGCGGACAAGGCCCACCCCGTCCCTGCTGTTAGATTGCACTGGACTTGCTGCGCCGGAGCAGGCAGACGGCAGTCACCAGAGATGTCAGGGTGGTGACCACAAAGAGTAGGATGAGGATGACCCAGTAGTTGTACAGCATGCTTTTGTGGGAAGAAGGCTTCTCCGCTGGGATCATGTTGGTGAGGTTCAACATGTAGCCCAACGCCCAGCCAATGGAGGTTTCTCCTGCCTGTGGAAACAGCATGGCATGGTCACTACCCTGGTCAACGCAGCTCCACGGGCCTCAAGGGACCTTCCAGGGACGACCTCAGTGTGAGGCCAATGAAGGGGAGGGATCTGGGGGAGTCCACAGCATCCTGAGCCCTCGCTTCCCCATGCGTCCAGCTGGCCCAGGGGCCAAGCAGTGGCCATCCTGTGCTGAGTTGGGTTCATCTGATGGGAGCAGGATCTCATCCGCTCAGGCCAGTCTTGCTGCCCATCTCACAGTTTGTGCAGGTGAGGGCACTTGGCAAAGGTGGGATCCCAACAAGCCTGAGCAAAGAGTTGTTTGAGATGGCTGGTGTCTCGCAGGCCAAGGAAGGACTGGAAGACCTGACTCCATGGCCACCCTACAGTCAGCTCAGCTCATTTTGGTTTTTTTGGCATCTCCCAGAAGGAAGGGAGTCCCATTGTGCCCCTGTTCCCCAAGATCTTCCCTCACATTGCTCAACTCTTTCTTGGTGTGGGATCATCTCTCCTGCAGGGCTTTTTGGCCTAACTCCAAACAGACACCATGGCAGGAGTATGTGCTCTGGTGTTACCCACCTTCTTCTGGAAGGCGATGTTGGGGAACGAATGGTTGTCGAAGTTGTAGCCTTTGGTGGTCAGCAAATAAACAAATGTGCTGACAGCGCAGTAATCCAACAGTCTGTTCTCCAGCTTAGGGGCTTTCTGGAGCAGCTGGGTGGGATGCATGGAGAGACAGAGAAAAGGGGTCAAGCCAGCAGGGTCCAGGCTTTGTTTCTGTGGCCTGAAGCTCTGGGTGGTTGCATCTGGCTGGCCAAGGTGCTGCCCATACCCACCTGAGCCTCCCCTTGTCCCATGTGGGAGCTGTCACCCACCCTCCCCTTACTCCACGGGTGCTGAGACACCCAGCCACCTCCAAGGGCTGCTCTCAGAGCCTGGGTAATGCCCTACACAAAGCAGCCCTCTCCTCCCTGCCATGCCCGAAGAGCCCACCTCGCTCCAGCTGGTGGCACAGATGGTCTCGGCAGCATCCTTTAGGTCACTGGGCAAGTGCACGGGTGTCCCCATGACTGTCTGGATGAAGTCCACTGTGTAGAAGAAGGCAGAGAAGGCCTGACAGAGGAAAGGAGACAGCTGTGGGACAGGCTGGGAGCAAAGCCCTCTCACCATGAACAGCAGCCCTGAGTGGCCTTGTGGGCACAAGGAACCACCCTTGGAGAGCCAAGGGTCTGACTTTGCTGCTGCATGATGCCGGGGGGCCAGGGACACCTGCCCACCCAGCAGCCAGGAGACCACTCCACTCCCTGCTAGGACTTACAATGAAGTTTCCCGAAACCTCTGGCTGGAAAATGCCATCAAAGGAGCAGCGGGAGAAGGAGCAGGTGGTGAAGTCGAAGAGCTTGCTGACGTGCAGAGCGCAGAGGCTGCCATTCCCGGTGCCGACCACAGTGATGGTGGTGTTGAGGGCAAGGCTGGGCTTCTCCTTCTCTGTACAGGGGCTGTCATAGATGCTGCTCAGTGACAGGCTCTTGTCGTAGCCCTTGGGCCAGCAGGGATGGTGGACAGTTGGCTGGTAGCTCTCAGCCTGTCGGAGAAGTGACACATGGGACATGTGAGCCATGCTATAGCCCCAGTTTCCCCTGTGCTGCATGGCAGTCCTGGCACTGCTGCTGGCCTGCCTCCATTTCCCTGCCAGGGAGATGTGGAGGAGCTTGGGGAGTGGGACACAGAGCTGGCAGTTGCCACAAGCGCCTTGAGATGACTTGGGACATCCTGGTTCTGGCCAAGGGATGCAACACCTTATGGAGAGGGTAGGAGGAAGCCCGGGGACCATGGGAGAGGGTCAGGGGGCAAACGCCAAAAGTTGGCTGGGAAAGGTGTGCAGCTGGCCCTGCGGGGCTGTCTTAGAGCCAGGGCTGGGGACACCCCTGTAAAAACACCAGGGTGAGGGGGCAACCACGGGGTGATGACAGCTGGCATCC